AAAATTAGACTTATCTACTGACTTGACCATCACCTTCTCTGAGTACAATGGCAAAAAGTGAGGGTCCATTATGGGACACCTAAACAAGCACTGCTCCCATTTCTTCGGGTGAAGTACAGGGTGATAATAAATGCTCGGGTATACTGCATAGTATAGTGTTTTAGGCATTGGACTATGACTCTGGAAACCAAGGGTTGAATTCCTGCTCTGCCATGAAACCCACTGGGTAACCGTGGGTAATTCATATTATCTCAGCCTCCAAAGATCACACCAATGAATATCTGAAGGAACTACACAAATTAGTGTATAGTGCCCTTATGATGTGCAGAAATATATTTAAGTGGACGAACCCCAGGATCCAAAACATGGCATCGCCTGAAGCATTTGAATCCTGACACTTGGGATGTCAGGGTATATGGGTTAAGTTATCAGGCTATATGTCATCAGCACTCCAAGCTAAGTAAGGGACACAACTTATTTCCCAAGGACAATAGTCTATTCAGAATCTCCCAAAGAACATTATACTAGCCACTATGGATATGGAATCCCACAATACATTACACGCTAAAATATATTTCAAGTCATCAAGAGTACCATCCTGATCTAGTCATCAAACCCAGCCACTTCATACTTGTAATTACTTCACTTTAGGAAGCAATATGTCTCTCCAAGTCAGCGGCACTGCCATGGACACCACAGTATGCAAACATCTTCATAGCTGACCTGGAACAAAGCTTCCTAAGCACATGAATTGCTTATTAATTTGGCCACATGGAAAGCAATAACTTGAGAAGCACCACCAGGATTCCAAAAACTATCGAATGGAATCCAGGACAATCAACACAACACATTCACTTTCTTTATACAATTGGGCAACTGTGCAATGAACACCTAAGCACAACACTCTATTGAAGAACTGTTGATCACTACACATCCTTACATGCTTCCACTTGCTATCCAGAACACACAACCAAATCAATTGTTTACAGCCAAGCCCTCCGATACAATTGCATGTGCTCAGAGCTACACAAAAAAGGCCTCAAACTCTTAGATTTACAATCAACATTTCTGAAACTATAGTACACGATCAAGGAGGCGAAGAAACAAATTGACACGGTATGATTGTCAGTGATCATCTACAGTCTTCAAATGAAACCAAACACATCAATGAGCTATAACCAACTCTGGAGAATAACACAGCCGTCTCATAAGCTCTGAGAGGTAGGTTTTTACTGACCTGCAGAGAGACTCCTAATGTTTCTTGTGTTGGCTAACTGCTGGCTAATTTACCTTCAGTGATCAGCCAACAGTGAGATCAGCTTGCACAACTCCTCTGCAGGCTTAGATCAACCAGGAGAAGATCCACAAAATGGGATAGAGAAAGCACACGAGAAAAATATTATGACCAAAGTGCACCAATATTTGAGACATCTGAAAATGGTCACATTCTATTCTACTTTTTTATACAACATGTGACTTGCATACTGATTGATTTTATGCATGTTTACTCAGAAGTAATTTTTACTGAGTTTAATAGCACAAGAGAGAGTGGTGTATACTACTATAGACAACTAAAATGGATTAAATCTAAAAATTAGCTCGGGAAACAAACTGGACCACAGTCCTTATGATCCCACCCTCCAAGCAATGGTGCATAGTTTTCATCTTTAATAGTTTTCAGTTGTGCTAGTTTTGAAGAATGGCTGGTGGGTAGGAGACCCTTTTTAAGAGGCAGTAAATTTCATTCCCAAGCAATAGGAATGAAAAACAGAGGAAAGTATTGCCTTCATGTTCTGTATATCAACTTTCCAGGAGTATCTGGATGGTGATTGTCAAAGACAGTCCCAAAATAAATGAGCCTTTGGCCTAACCCAGAAAGGCTACTTCGTGTTCTTACCTTTTGAACATAGAATGAGAATCCAAGTGTGCTTTATCAGCTTTGTATATTTTTCATATGAGAGAGAAAGCATAGCCCACTGTTCCTGCTTATCTTCAAGTTTGATAAAAATGGCACATTTATTAAATATAAATGAGAGGCGAAGCCCAAATTACTTCAGTACTGCAAATTATATTATGGGAATCATTTAACATTTCTGTGAGGGAGGCCAAAACAAATATGCCAGGATCCTATTACTTTTCAAATTTGCTTTCTGCTTTGAAAAAGCATTTTAAGTTGGCACAATTCCCATTTGAAACCAGGCCTGGAGTGTTTTAGTACTTTAAAAACCTTACTGGGGTGTGTAATGGCTTGGCATATTCCTGAGGCTCTTGTCAGTGGGACATACGTTTTTGGTTCAGATTTTGCTTCTTTAGGTCTTTTTTAAAAAATGCAAGCACTGCAGTTTTTATCATTTATATTTAACCAATGTATTCCTTGTCAATTACAAATAATTCCCATTAACATTAGCCAAAAAGAAACTAAATTTAAACTTTCAAAAGAATTCAAGAATTGCAACACAAAGTTATGCATTTCAACTGTGTTTTTTAATTAAAGGAAGTGATAAGAGAATACTAGTTCTAAGAGGCAGCCAAAGTGTATAAAACATAATGAGCACAGGTATTTTACATGTCCAGAACTTAAGAAAAAGTATCAGATAGATATTATTTAGCTGTATCTGGAAAATAATACCATTTTAAAGTACTGTAATGCAGATCCAAATTCACTTTGAGTTCTGCAATGACTGACCTGGTTTAATAAAATGCAAAATAAAAACTCAAGCATCATTTGATCAGCCTTACAATCAGTGTAGCTACAGTGGCAATTCTCATTATGCCACTAGAGATGTAATTTTACCAACAGGTCAAACTAAGCTGGAAAGACAGGGAACAAGGAGATGGCTTGTTTTATCTTGGTACTTCTTTTTTGTGAATATTGCTTTCCCTTAGTGTTGTTAACAGCAAGTTTAACACCAACATAAAGCTTAACTTTAAGAATCAGTACACTTGATCTGTACTTTAGAAGTAGGGAATAAGGAAGAAACCATTTGGTTCCAACAGCTTGTTCATGGGCAAGTAACTAGCCACGTGTCTACTGGTCCATGAACAGCTTTAACCCTTTGTAGTAGAAGGAAAAAGAGAAGGTAAGGTCTCGATTTCAGTTGAAATAGTAGGAACATAAGAAACTCATATGTTTCTTAGAAGAAACTATTTTTCTTCTTTCCATGCTGGAAGAGGAGACACATATTTCTCCATCTTTCATGTTCTCTGTAGGATTTCAGAGCTAGGTTTTATCTAAGTTTGAAGACAGAGAAAAACAGGACCCTGAAACTGATATTTGCAAGAATCCAAATTGTCCACTGACCAAGAGAAAGAAAGCAAAGAAAATGAAGAAGGAGAAAGCAAAAGCAAAGGGGAGAAAATTAGCAAGAGGAAAAACCTATACAGATGCAGTGAGGCTGCCCAACTAGAATGGTATCCAGAGGCTCAGGAAGAAGTGTTTCATGTTCTCCCTTACTTCTCTGTATCTTACATGGGGATTACATGCAAAGCACATTTTTCTACTATTGAGCTATCTCTCTTCCAAACATACATTCAATTGCAAAAGGTATATGGCTCTGGATACTCCCATTGTTGTAGCTGATGTAACCTAAAATACAACCAAAATGGAACCTTGCAATTAGACTCCAAATTGCATGGTTCCATATCAGCCATACTAAAGATTATAAAGTACAGAAAGAAGTGTCCTGTGAACTGTAAGTATACAAATGTATAATGCACATTCCAGTGAGACATCCTCAGGTGTGAACACTGATCAATGCCTAATGCAGGCACCCCTCAGTTAACGGAGCCTCTGAAAATAAACCGCCTCCTCCCCTATGATCCCAAACGGTCCTTAAGATCTTCCAGGGATGCCCTTCTCTCGCTCCCGCCCCCGTCTCAGGCGCGGTTTGATTCTGGCAAAACATGGGATTTACTTTCACCCTCACTGTGTAAAGGCAATTTCTCTGTAATATTAGACACATAAGCACATTAGTCTCCATGTTCAGGCTAGAACTGTGGCTGGAATCCATTTGGTTCTTTAATGTTTGCTTTATGTTTTTTATATTTCAAATATTTTGAAATATAAAGTTCTAAAATAGTATATTACAGACTAAAAAGCACTCTCATTCTTTTGTAAATTTCCCAAATATTTTCTGCAACCCAATGTTTCAAGATGCAGCAGTTACTAACACTACACACATCTTCAGAAGTTCGGTACCAATGCATGAGGGGTTTATATCATGAATGGGAAGGCTAGTCAATTTCCACAGATGTTGACAAATCAGTTAGCCAAGACTGCCAGCAGATGCATAGTAAGCACTCTTATGTTGCAGGATTCCATCTTGTAAATGAATGAGGACAGAGGATGTTTGTGCCCTGGGAGAGGCATCTAGAAGTACAATAATTATGCCCACTCCTTTCAAGTGGGAAGAGTTTCATTCATGAGCAGTTCAATGTTGCAGAAATATAGTGATTTCAAATTGGGACCAACTTTTTGGAATACTCTGTATTTAGATTCTCCTGTTAGTACTGAGTTTAACATGTAGCCTCCCAACATGTTTTAAAATTGAATCCCAACACTGATAAGTGAAACAGCAGTCTACTGTTTACATTTTCTTCCTAGATTTCTATCTATAGTAAGCTTATACATTCTATTTGTACTATGAAATATAGGGGATAACTAAGGCTACTACATTATTCAGTTGATTTCAGGACCTATATAAAAATAAACAGGAGCAGAGGCAGAACTATAGAATTAAATGGGCTAATATTTCTGAATTTCCCATGGCTGCTGTGAGAACCCAGATGGAGTCTCAGATCTCATCCATAATGAGGTCCATTATGGCAGGTATTTGGCCTTTTGGTATCTGATGTAGACACGATCTCACTATCTCTTGTGTAAGGATGCTTTTTGGCTAAAGGAACAAAGCTTGCAGTGAGTTTCTAATATATTAAGGAATTGTATATTCTTAAGGAGAATGACTTCATTAAACATTTGTTTAAAAAACTGAAACACAAAGTAAAATATTTGAAATATTTATTAACAAAGGCATACATTTTGCATCATGTACATACCAGACAAAATATCTTCTGATTCATTTATATTAAAATATACATATTGTATACTGGGTAACACTATTTTACTACTGGTATCACCATATAATTTTTTTGCTTATTCATCAACCAGGTTATTAATGTTATATTCTTGAAATAAATTACGAGGGATACTTTGATCACACAATCAGGGTGCACCAAGGAAACCAGAAGTCATAAGAAAACACTTTTAAGTAGCTGGATATGCTAATCTTCTTTAGAAAGAATTCTTGCCAAACAGCACATATTTTTAGGAAATCTGGTACTTATTTAAAACTAGATAGTATACAACAGATAGATGTTGCTCTCTGAGAAAAACAGTTTTAAAAAGCAGTATTTCTGGTTTAGTTAACTTATGTTGATATATGAATATGTAAACACTTGTAGCACAGTTTAAGCATACTTCTGTGTCAACAGCAGTTAGTACAATCAAAAATTACCCATTACTTCACCTATTTTGTATGCTGCCAATATCAACGTTTTGTTTCATAACAGCTGAAAAAATGGCAAAGTTTATTATTGTTAAAGTGAAAGCTCCACTCTGAAAAGAATTTTTAAAAGGAACAAGAATTTCTATTAAATTCTTTGACAATATATTTTTTATTAAGAAGTTTCACAACTGCAGCTTGTACATATGGTAAAATGCTACCTTGGTTCTGAGACTGTGCTTGCATTTCAGATCCATATAACTGTATACAAAGAAACCCTTCCTTATATTACACACAGAAATTTTAAAACCAGTGGTCTGCTTTTAAAAGAAATTGCTTACTTGTCTATTGGGAATCTAAATAATTGCCGCTTTATTTATGTTGCTAGATTCCATGTGCCTCCATGAAAGACAACCTTCTCCAGAGGAATTGGCCTTAGTAATATCTGCTTCAGATAAGTTTAAGAACATTAAACTTCTCATATGATCATATGAGCACTATAATCAAAATAGTGTTGTAGTTCATAACAGGATTACACAGATATACGTTCCTTTTTGTCAATAATAAACAAGCCCTACAGAAACTTTGGAGTCCAGAGTCAAGCGTTATCGTCCATCTTACAATACCCAGACAGATATACCAGTTTGCTAAATCTTACCAGTTTGCTGAAGTAGCAGAGTGATAAAACCACTAGTTAATATAATCAGCATGGCACTTAGCGTTGTATGGTTACGCTTGTTCTGACTGCTGGAGTAGCTGCAGCCCGTTCCCTCTCTTTTGCAATTTCCAACTCTATTTTGGCTTTGATTTTATCCCAGTCGACTTCAAGCTGCAGCATCAGGGAAACAGGAGGGGGAAGGAGGAGAGGAGTACCCATTAATCATAATTATAGTAGATGCATATAAATTAACCTGGCAAGTTTTTATATGTTACATCTGCTACGCATTTCTTCATAACATTCTGTATAATATTTTTAGCCTTTTGTGGCTTGAAGCTTTCTGCAATCTGTTAGTGAAGTTAAAAAAACGATGGCAGGGATACAGACAAGCCCATGTGGGTGCACAAAATGCTTCTGCATGCACATGAGGTTTTGCCAGTTTTCTTTCCTGGAGGCAAGCCCTTGCACCTCACGGGATATGACTCTACAGGGTCTTCTAACTTTTGAGAAGATGGCGAGGGGCACAAAAGAGGAAAGAGGTGTTGGAAAAACCAGCCATTTTGAAGAGCTCTTAAAGTGACAGTTTGGATTCTAGCCCAAAGGATTAAAATACTGAAACTAATATTACTGAGTCTTTCAGCCAAACATACACAATTAGCTTGAATTACATGTTGCACTGTAGTTATGACTTTTTAACCTTTTTATGGTTTTGAGATATTTTTCCCCACTGGAACTAGGATTTTGAAGGGAAGGAATATATATAATCTATAGATAGTTACTTGTGATGCATTTGGCACTGTTCACACATATTTATGCATTATTTGATATCTATACAGCTGTCAACTGGCAACTGCATGTGTGGATTGAGTCCACAGAAAAAACTGTTTGCGATTATTTAAAAAGAAGATAGGAAGAAGTAAGAAAGCTCCATCAGAAGAAATTTATATGACTGATTGCATATTTGTACATGCATCACTTTTTCTTATGGTTGTTGTTGTTATGTTCATTCGTTCAGTCGTCTCCGACTCTTCGTGACCTCATGGACCAGCCCACGCCAGAGCTCCCTGTCGGCCGTTACCACCCCCAGCTCCCTCAAGGTCAGTCCAGTCACTTCAAGGATGCCATCCATCCATCTTGCCCTTGGTCGGCCCCTCTTCCTTTTGCCTTCCACTTTCCCCAGCATAATTGTCTTCTCTAGGCTTTCCTGTCTCCTCATGATGTGGCCAAAGTACTTCATCTTGGCCTCTCCTATCCTTCCCTCCAGTGAGCAGTCGGGCTTTATTTCCTGGAGGATGGACTGGTTGGATCTTCTCGGTGTCCAAGGCACTCTCAGAATTTTCCTCCAACACCCCAGCTCAAAAGCATCTATCTTCCTTCGCTCAGCCTTCAAGGTCCAGCTCTCACATCCGTAGGTTACTACAGGGAATACCATGGCTTTGACTAGGCGGATCTTTGTTGCCAGTTCTGATGTCTCTACTCTTTACTATTTTATCGAGATTGGACATTGTTCTCCTCCCAAGAAGTAAGCGTCTTCTGATTTCCTGGCTACAGTCTGCATCTGCAGTAATCTTTGCACCTAGAAATACAAAGTCTGTCACTGCCTCCACGTTTTCTCCCTCTATTTTCCAGTTGTCAATCATTCTTGTTGCCATAATCTTGGTTTTTTATGTTTAGCTGCAACCCGGCTTTTGCACTTTCTTCTTTCACCTTGATTAGAAGGCTCCTCAGCTCCTCCTCGCTTTCGGCCATCAGAGTGGTGTCATCTGCATATCTGAGGTTGTTAATGTTTCTTCCAGCAATTTTCACCCCAGCCTTGCATTCATCAAGCCCCGCACATCGCATGATGTGTTCTGCATACAAGTTGAATAGGTTGGGTGAGAGGATACAACCCTGCCATACTCTTTCCCAATCTTGAACCAGTCTGTTGTTCCGTGGTCAGTTCGTACTGTTGCTACTTGGTCCTTGTACAGATTCCTCAGGAGAGAGACAAGGTGGCTTGGGATGCCCATCCACCAAGAACTTGCCACAATTTATTATGATCCACACAGTCAAAGGCTTTAGAATAGTCAATGAAGCAGAAGTAGATGTTTTTCTGAAACTCCCTGCCTTTCTCCATTCTCCAGCGGATATTGGCAATCTGGTCTCTCGTTCCTCTGCCTTTTCTAAACCCAGCTTGAACATCTGGCAACTCTCGCTCCATGTATTGCTGGAGTCTTCCTTGCAGGATCTTGAGCATTACCTTACTGGCATGAGAAATAAGGGCCACTGTACGGAAGTTTGAGCAGTCTTTCGCATTTCCCTTTATGGTTATCAACTGCCTAAGTAAAGTAATCCTCAAGGGCAGGAAATTTTGCAAACCCAGAGCCCTTAGAATACACTGATTACATTATTCGCATTTAAACATGGCACACCGAGTTCAAAATGTCAACAGTTTAAATCTGTGGAGCAGGGTGAGCTCCTGTCATTAGCCCCAGCTTCTGTCAACCTAGCAGTTCAAAAACATGCAAATGTGAGTAGTTCAATAGGTACCACTCAGGCAGGAAGTAACGGCACTCCATGCAGTCATGCCAGCCACATGACTTCGGAGGCATCTACAGATAACACCGGCTCTTTGGCTTAAAAATGAGCATCACCCCCAGAGTTGGACTTGACTAGACTTAATGTCAAGGGGAAACCTTTACCCTTTACCTATGTTTTTAAACATTTTCAATAATTCTAGCAGTGTGCATATTAAAGGCAGATTCTGAGCTACAGTTTTATTCTGTAGTACATTCTAAGGCCAAATATATTATGCTTTTATTGACCTTGAATATTATATAGCTTCTTCAAGAGAAGATTCAATTGAATATTATTTATTACAAGGTATCTAAGGGTGCACTCCTACACAAATTTACTTGGGAGAAAAAGTCAATGAATACAGTGGAAATTACAGCTAAACAAAAAAGCATAAGACTGCATTGTATATTAAATAAAAAAATATCACATGTCACTTTTCAACTGATAAATTTTATTCTGTGGATACATTTTTCCACCCAGCATCAGAAAATCTGAGTCAAACTGTCGGTACTTAGATACCATGTGTTAGGAAGCTTTCTTCAATTGTTACTGTTTAAGACCATTATATGGCTCAAACCATAGAGGCAGTCTAGTTATACAAGTTGACTTCTGTTAGCATGACACTGGATTTCATTTGCAGTCATTATAGGTAAGAGAGCTGTAATATATTTATCTTTTAAGCAACGTTTTTGCTTTTTCTTGTTTTGTCCCAATCTTCTCAGTATCAAAGTATCAAGAGTCTTCTCAAACTACTATGTGATTTCTGTCCCCCATTAAAGATCTTCTCAATAATAGCTATGATGCCACTCATTAGATTTTGTTCAATTCTGTTTCACGTGTGTTTGTTTCCCTAAAAGATTTAAGAATTTTGAGGATATATTTATATTTTATTTGTAGTGTTTCTTATACAGCACAGTAAGTTAGTTTATTTATTTATTTATTTGGGGTTCTTGTACCCCGCCCTTCTCACCCCGTAGGGGACCCAGGGCGGCTTACAACAGCAAAGGCACGCTTCGATGCCTGCCACACAAAACAATCATAGTTGACTAATCATAGTTGACTAAGAGCTGACAAAAGAAACGCTCACTGTAATACTAATGTAGCTCATATTGCACAATTCTGAACCTCCAATTATACTTGACTGTTGCAGAACAAGTGATTCCAAATACAAATTACAAAACAAGCAGAAAGAGCATCATTTCATCGACAGATTTCTTAATTTTATTACAATCAATAAATGGCTGGAATCCAAAGAACCATAGAACTAGTTCTCTGGACCTGAGGTTTTAGGGTTGGTTCTCTAAACAGCAAGGCTCAGTGTCATTGGGGAACTCATTATGGAAACTGGGGATGTTTTAAAAGCAGTTGTGATATATTAAAGAAGTAATCTGTGCAAATAAAATAGAAAAATGCAATTTGTCCTGTGCACAAATCTAAATAACTCTTTGAATTCCAGCCTGTACTTTCTTTACTTCTTATGTAGCAATGCCTGTCTACTTCAACCATAGATGGTACAACAGTTTTGCTTTTGGAGCCAACTGAGGCCCTTTTACCACAGCTATTTTTATGTTGTTTCAGAAGACTGGTATGGAGAATGCTTACAGTATAATCAAAGTGCGCCAGATATTGCTAGCCAAGCATGCTGCTTTTCTAAGTCTTTATCCCTCCTTTACACAAGATGAATGTGAAGGTTGTGATGTAGATGCCAAAAGCTATATATATAACTTTCAGGTAATATTCACTATACCTTACTTAAGGCTGTGCTAAGCTAAGCAGAACTGTAGCTACTGTACAAATCCCACAGGAAATCAACACTAGTATAGGTTAGGAGATAATCTTTTCTTGCATTAGCTTGCACTGGTGAACCACAAACCTAAAAGTTTCAGCATTAGAAAAATATCACCTTAGAGTTTCTATCTTTCATCTAACTAACATTCATTCTACATCTTTATTACTCAGCTGTATTATATTTACATGGTGCACTTTTCAGAACTGGCAGGGGATATTCCCCCCATACACTTTGGTCCTGCTCCAAATACATTAAAGTAAGCCTCGGAACAAGAGCTTTGAAACATAATGATAAAAAGCTGTAAATTGTATTTCATACTGTGGAAAAAAAATGGGGGGGGGGGGGGGGGGAGTTCAAAGTGTTACTAAGCACACATTAAACTTCAGGCTCGAACAGACTACCAAGCTAAGTTTCTGAAAAAGTGTAACTCAGCTTCYAGAGAATACTTGCCCCTTCTGCATACTGCAAAAATCGCTGATTCGTTTCTTTTTTGCCAAAGTCATCCAAGAACTTTTGTCGGTAAGCCAGAACTGTGTCAACGTGTGTCTTGTGTTTCACAGCAAGTTCTAGTGCCCTAGAAGAAAACAATAATGAGCTCATCAGGCTGAACTCAGAAACTGGCCTAATTACAAATGCTTTGGTTTTATAAAAATACATGCTGTACAGTGACTGCACTGGTGGAAAGTTTTGCTGACACAGAGCAAAAAGTAACCTACCATTAGCGCTGGCAATGATGATGGCCTCGACAAATTTTATGAACTATGTTATAAGAAGCAGTTACTTTTCTGTACTGTACATTAACATTGTAATGTATATTTCCCCACTGAATATATTTTATTTATTATATTTTTAAGCAAAGTAATGTTTTATGTTGGCAAAGAGGATCTATAAAATGTTCTATAGTAATGGTGTATCATGGCCCCAAGAACAATGTTAGAAAAAAAAAAGTGAAACCAGGATCCAATCTCAGTTCATTAATGTCCACTGATCCAACATCTCTATTTTTTTTTTCATATCAGGAGCAACTTGGGAAACTGCAAGTCGCTTTTGATGCGAGAGAATTGGCCATCTGCAAGGAACATTGCTCAGGGGACACCCGGATGTTTTACCATGTCCCCATATGGTAAGCTGTAGCTGACGGATGGGAGCTCATCCCGCTCCCCAGAATTATACTGCCAACCTTTTGGTCAGCAGTCCTGCCAGCACAAGGATTAACCCCTGCACTACCGGAGGGTCCAACGTCTCTAATAATATTAAGGAATTCACAGAGGCTGAGTGTTGGGGAGTGCTCTAAATGTCAAAATTGAATGTGCATATGAGCTCGTTATGGAGGATGCTCTATCCAGGAAACATTAGATCAGAAACTTGGCAAATCACTTTTTCAAATGTGTTTCTCCAGTCTAAACCAACCATAACTTCACAATGTTAGTGTAATAATTTATTCAGCACTTCTAGAATATTCTGACGAAGTGAAAATATAACCAACAGTAGGTTTGTTTTTTTTAACGAGGCACATGATATTTATTTATTTATTTATTTACTTTGCTTATATACCGCTGTTCTCAGCCTGGGGGCAACTCATACAGGATACAGGAACCTTGCTAAAGTGAAACAGTTACGGCCCTGGTTGGTGCATTAATGAGACACACTAGGTGAAGCATTCATTCAACAAATAAATAGAACTTGTAAATGTTTTGAAAGCTTCATGTACACTGGTGGTTCTTCATATACATTCAGACTCTTGTAAATGGGCTGATATACTGCTTTCGTCTTGTAGACTGGGGGCCCTTCCACACAGCCCTCTATCCCAGAATACCAAGGCAGTCCCACATTATCTGAGTGTGGACTCAGTTAACCCAGTTAATTGTGGGATTTTCTGTCTTGATATTCTGGGATATAGGGCTGTGTGGAAGGGCCCCCAAACTGAAACCTAAGGCCTCCTCCACACAGCTGAAAAAAATCCCACATTATCTGGTTTGAACTGGAATATATGGCAGTGTGGACACAGATAATCCAGTAGGATTTTCTGCTTTGCTATTCTGCATTATATGGCTGTGAAGAAGGGCCATTAGAGAAATGCAGCTTACTTAAAGTTGTCTACTATGCTTATGGAGGAGGCTAAAATATCTGAGGCTAAAACTATCAGAAACATTATGTGTCCAAGTAATGGCTCCAAATTCAGCACCATTTCTCTGATTAGAAGGTTGAAGGATGAGATGCAGTAAGCCGTCAAATTCAATTTCCCCATACAACTCCCTGCCAGTGTTATAAATGAGATGTGTGAGCCAGGAATCCATACAGATCTAAAGAGGTGTACTGATATTACATGTAATATATTGATTATTTTTTTAAACAAATGCATAAAATTCCATATGCTACATTCATTAGGGCTTTGGGTTTCTCTTTCTTAAGCAGTTTTTCATACAAAAAAATTCAAGCTCTTCAAATTACATAGACAAATTTATTTATTTATTCTCTTAACTCTTAATCCAACATTAATTCTGAATGAAAATGTTAGGTCTTAGCAAGATGGAAGGAATTAAATATACATGAACAAAAACGTGGGTGAAATAAAAAATAATAATTAATTAAAAGTCAGGCAATTATAAGTGAAAAATATTGGGAAAAACCTAATATTACAACAATGACATAACTGAAGAAACATCTTACCTTTCCCAGTTGTAAAGGTTAATATTGACTTGAATAGCTTGGAAAATAAGGCCAGCTTGAAGAAGTAGTGTTTCAGCTTCTTGTATATTGCCACTGAAAAGCAGGATATGAGCTAATCTTGATTCTTTGGATGGAAGATCTTTGATAGAACTTATATACTGAACTTTGTCTATCTGTAGTTAAAAAAGAATGTGATATTTGCAATTTAAGGAAAATGTTTCTAATTACATTCACATTTTCAAGTTAAGACAATTCAAATGATTAGGCCTGATCTACTTACTTCTCCAACCGATGCGTAGGCTACTTCTGCTGTATTCATATCCTTATTAGATACTGCCATAGCAGCTAAACATGCCCATAATGTTTGATCCTTAAAATGAAATGAATATATTAAGTTAATAACTTCCCATCTCATGTAATGCAAACATTTGTCTTCACCCAATAAAGACACGTAGAACCTCCACCACAACTGAAGAAGTGAGCTTAGGTTTCTAAAATGTTATTATTGCCACCTAAAACTTCTCTCCGAATTATCAGTTGCTAACCTGATTGAATACATATATTGGAACATTCATGTTCAAATACTTGGTCCTAAGTAGTACTGGGCTTTTTTCTATTAGAAGAAAAGACACAAAGCTTTGCACTTCATGACAATCTACTTTTAAAAATTACTTGGGTGTCTAAAATTGTTAGCCATGGATAACATGTGTTTACTTCCACATTAAGACCACAATAGAGGAAAATTTAAGTATTAATTTCCATAAATGAGTACACTCTCACTAAGCTTATCAAGACTTAAAAGCTTTGGAAGGGCCATGGTGACAAACATTAATTGTTCTTAACTGATTTAAATTATGTTAATAGCCGAATCACTATATGAACATTGGTCAGCATTGAATTAGGAAGCATATCTCTATTCATCAGTTTGAGGAGCTCTCCAGAGGCAAATCTGAGGCAAATTTTAGATTAGAGATATTTAGATTTTAACTACCATTTAACAGATAATATTTCTATTTACTTCAGTGGCACCATTTGAATTTAAGAGTTTGAGGGTTATGGCATGTACAATACTGTACAAATCCTTAGAAATGGAGCAGGAAGGCTGAAGTGTCCAACAAGATTTCTTGACAACATCAACCTTATTTAAAATCTGTTGCAAGTGAACAGTCTAGTAATAATAATAATAATAATAATAATAATAATAATAATAATAATAATACTTTATTTATAGACCACTTGATCTCCCTGAGGGGACTCAGGGTAGTTTCCAAAATATATGGCAAGCATTCAATGGCAAAAAAACCCAAAACATATCAACAAATTACATCAAAATGAGATACAACAATATAAAACAGCCTAAGTGTAAACTTAATACCAAATAAGAATATCGTATACCAAAAAATCAAGCTAACAACCCCAGCAGACATAATCACATCATATAAATTTACACAAAATAAAACACTTAAAACAATTGGACCCATATTAAGAGGTAGGATGGTTTCCAACCACTGATAGGCTGAGGTCAATTCCAGTATAGACAGAATTTAATGTATCTAAACGATGATATATGTTGGGGCATATTAGTCTTCCTCTGGTAACAGTCATATCTCCCTATTCTGGTACACCCACCTAGTTTTAAAAGGTGCATAGGACTGGATTGATAGCTGATTCAGGTGAAGGAGGGGCACATACTTGCTTTTCTCGAACCACACTTTGCAAGTTGTGCATTAACCCATATAATGTGGTATTTAATGTAATGCGCACCTCAATTTTGAAAATGCTTGTTACAAAAAATGGAATTGCCCTCAAATGTAATGTGCCCAACAGCACAGGCATAACATGTCAGGGGGCAGGCAGCATGAATGAGGTTATTTGGGAAGCTAGGCCCCTCCTTCAGGGTGAGGCTGGCAAACTTGCTAGCTTCATATAATTCCCAGGTGGTCTAATTCACAAAGCCTTCAAGACTGAAAGGAAGGTTTTGAAGGCCTCATGAATGAAGCCAGTTTTGAACTGTGTGGGACTGAGTTGGGGTGTGGGGTGGCGGGAGACCTTGGGGCCTCCTGGGAGACAGAATTCATAGCAAAGCAGCAGAAATGACTGTGTCACCAGCCAGGCGCTCCTCCTCCTCCTCCTCCTCCTCTGGGCACTAGGGAGTCACAAGGCTGCTGCTGCTGCCACCCTCCATCTCTGTCTGGCCTCTGGGCTCCTAGGTTCTTCCAAGACTTTTCATGTATGTGAGTTTCTGTGCACAATTCTAATGCACACCTCAATTTTGGCAATCTAATTTAGCCAAAAAAGAAGAGCATTAAGCTCATGTTAAGTATGGTATGTTAATTGCAACACACTACTACTGGCAGAAACAAGATGGAAACAGCACTACTTTTCAGGAGGAGCAAAGAACAGCTGTAATTTGTCCATCTATTAACTGAACAATAATAATGGGGATGGTTTCCATCTTATCGTTATAAGGGGTAGAAAGAGGAAGAGGGAAATTACATGGATGGCTGAGTTTGCTGTACTGTGACATGCTTTATGCTTTTTGTGGCTAAGGCAGATTTGACTCATACCTAGACTAAGTAGTGCACACACAGTCAGCGTTGTATGAAATTGAGAGACTGCTGTCCTGGTGCAGAACTTAGAAATCTCAGCCAAAGCTGCATTATATGATTCACAAGTCTGTTTAGAGAGGGAAGGGCTCCTTCTTTAGGAAAACACTCCAGCTGAGACTAAGAGTGAAAAGCAGAGACCAGGATGTACTGTAAGTTGTGCACATGGACAGTTGGTCAGAACAGGAGACACTGCTTTCCCAGGCAGCTACAGACTGCAAAAGCTAAACCCAAACCACTAAGGCATGAAGCACGGTCAGGACCGGGGCCCAGTCAGAGATGAGGACTGATTCTCCTGGCAGACTCCGAAAATCTGATGTGTTTGAAAACCCAGTTGGTTCTAACAATGTCTGTGGCCTCTGCCCTGCTTGGTGTGGAGGACAGCTTTCCCAGAATTTGCCCATTCCAAAATATATGAGTAAAATAAAATCTAAAAAGTAACACATTGTAAGCCAATTGTGGGAAGGGAAGACTGCTGTGTAACAGTAACATTATTTCTGTTCATGTTGTAACAGGGACAACAGCTCCTTACCAATGCAAAACAATGAATAATCTTAAGGCTTTTTTTGTGTTTTAAGCAAGGCTCATGAAAATTGTTAGCTAAATCAGTGAAATTACACTACATTTTTCAGAAAGCGTGTTTAATATTTTTCTATAATAATCTTTATTGAGATTTTTCCATAAAAACAATTAAAAGGAAAAAAAACACTTTTAAAAAACTTAGGGTGGGGATACTAATAGTAACATAAACCAACGGGAGAAAAAGAAGCAAAAAAGAAAAAGGAAAAAAGCGATAGAAACAAAAAAACAATAATACATGTTTTGACTCCTGCTTCTCACATCTTTTCTTCCTTTTCTCTCTTCTTATATCAATATTTCCTTTTTATTTCTTTTTAAATATTCTGTAATTGGGTTCCAATTAGTCTCTTTTCTAGAGTTTTTTTTGTTTTTGGAGATCAGGAATGTAAGTCTGTCCGTGTTTCTTATGTCTTGAATTTTTATCATCTTGTTTTCCTCTTCTGGTATCTCTTTTTCCATAATCTATCGTAATACAACCTTACCGCAGTAGTTAATAAGAATAATAGTTTGTCTTTGTTTTAGTCTATTTTTTTGTTCATATATCCCCAGTAGGAAGGTTTCCGTCTTTATCTCTAAAATTTCTTGAATTTTTTTCTGAATTTTTTTCCAACAATTTTTTGTTTTGCCACACGTCCACCACATGTGGAAGTATGAGCCTTTTATTTCCCTACATTTCCAGCATTTTATGTTTGTATTTTTGTAATACTTCCCAATTTTTGTGGTGTCATATGCCATCTATATACCATCTTTATCCAATTTTCTTTTAGAACTATCGCACCAGTATATTTTAGTTTTTGTTTTTGTGTTTAACATTTTTGAAAGCAAGCTTTTTGCATACACACACACACACACACTCAGTAGTAATATCATAGCATAAAAATTCCTGTGGTAATTCATAGTAATTTGGACTTAAAACATGTACATAGATAAGAAGTAAAACATTATCAATATAGATGAAAGATTGCTTTAGAAGAATTGTACTATATGTAGAATGATGACTGTCATTGATCTTTCGGCAGAGAGAAATAGGGAATTCTCGTGCTTTTTCAACTTGAGGCTCTTTCAGCACATATAGGTTAGAATGCAAAAGGCAGTTTAAAAAACCATTTGTGTTGGAGAAACTAGAGATAAAGAAGGCATAAAGGAGACAAAACCAGTGCAAAACACAAGCCAGTCCAGTCTTTCTGAACTGAATAATAAATCACAACTCATCAATATATGGCATTTATAAAAGATGATTCTGATGAAGAATTTTATATTTACCTTTACAAAACGACACAATCTCATGGCATCTTCCCATTTTGAGTTGTTTGCATATTCATGAAGTATAGATGGATAAGGTGAAATATTGATGTGAATAAGGGAACCATCAGCTCTCCTGATTGTAACCTGGCTTCCAACAAAACTCACAATTTGGGGATTCTTACTGAATTCACTGTTGAATATAATTATAAGAAATGACAATTTAGAATTAGTATGGTACAATTATAATTGTGCACATAATCCCTCTATAAGGCCACAGAATCCTTGTATAAGTATGTTTTATAAAGCATATTTTGCACTTCCTCATTGACCATCTATGGAAAAATGAACACAGTCCTCCTCTATATGCCCCACTTATCCTCCAAGTGTTTGTGGCAGCTATGTCCAGCCAATTAGTACCCCCGCCCAAAAAAAAACCCCTTTGAGGTTAATTAAAAACATAACTAGACAAAGCATGGAGAAACAGCCATATGTTAGTTATATCTTAAAGTTCAACTGAGGATTCGTAACATGCAGCTGCATACTTCACTCAAATTAAGCACTTACTCCACAGTGAAGAAAGTGGTCCTATATTCTCACATAATTACATATACTCCACATTGAGGAGACACAATGGAGTATGTTTTATGAGCATGTATTAATTAATAAACCTGAAGTGTATAATACCTTGCATCCTTTTCACATAAAGTTTTTGGCAAGAGGTCCTTATCAACATATACTACACTGGGATAGTACCAAACTGTAAATCGTGTGTCTTGAAGTCCACAAAGTATGTTACAGTTGTCATTCCACGCCAAAGTATGCACCATTGTTCCTTAGCAAAGAATAAGCAAAATAAAACGCCTGATCAAACACATTCTATGGCAGGATAAATATCTGAAACAGTTCTCTACCATGAAGTATCATTGTCAGTAAGGAAATTACAGATACTTTTTAAAGCACAGTTTGTTTTACTTCCTATAAAATATTATTTGTGACCTGAACAACTTAAACAAATAAAAACACAATCCTGCAAGGATAATTTTTCCTATTCTCTGTCATGATCTTTCTAGGTAATGTACAAGTGAAATCAATTTAACACTACACTAAACATAATTTAAATTTGAAAGAGAAAAAGTAATTTCAACAAGCTAAACACATATTAAACATTTTACCAAGTTAAAACAACTTAAGAGGTTAAAACAGTTTAAAATGAATGTATAATCATGTAACATGAAAGACTGATGTGAATAATGAGCCATCGGCTCTTCTGATTTCACTTACAACAAAGCTCAGTATAGGGAGTTTCACTAAATTCACTTAAATAAATTTGCCCAAAAGCTTTAACAAAAATCCATGTTTTAAGTTGGTGCTAAAATGACTCCAAGATTAGAGGTGACTGAATCTTTAAAGGAAGAGCACTCCATAAATGGGACACCACAGCAGAGCAAGGACTCTTCCATTTACCCTCACAGTAGATGTCCTACATCTCCAACAGATCTATCAAAGCAGGCATGGGCAAACTTCGGCCCTCCAGGTTTATCAGATTTCAACTCCCAGCTGTTAGGAATTGTGGGAGTTGAAGTCCAGAACACCTGGAGGGTCAAAGTTTGCACATGCATGTATTAGAAGTATATAAAGCATGTCACTCCCTTAAGCATTAGGTATCCCAGCTGTTAGAGGCACCATCATACCAGCACCTTGCATTCCATCTGGAAGCATATAAATAGTCTGTGTAATTCAAGCCAAATAGTTTCTATATGGTATTGTGGTCAGCAGCTTTACTGTTGTGTTCTGCACTAGCTGTAGCTTCTACATCATCTCCAGTGGTAGGTCTATGTAAAGTGCACTACAATAGTTCAATCAAGTGCACAAACTGTGGCAATGTTGTCCCCATCCATGAGAGGCCAGTCAGCTCTGAAACCACAGAGCCTGACACCAAGTACCCTGTGCCACAAAATCCAACTGGACCTCCAGTAAGAGAAACTGTTTGATCATTCCAATGCTATGTATCTAGTTCCTAGGGAAAGTGCAACCCTATCCAGGGTAAGTTGAGATCTGAGAATATTCTATTCACAAAGCTTCCAGCTTATTGGAATTCAGCAATTAAGGTCGTCATCCCAACCACTACAGTTGTGGTATTTCAAAAAATTTTGTTTACTGACTGAAAAAAGGACACAACTTTGGATACTGCTTTTTATTTGAGATGTGTAAACTAGAAAGTCAATTTATACAATCACAAACTATTACATTTGAAAACTCTTTAAAAAAAGAAAGAAGCCGACGTCATTTTTGTATTGTATTGTTTAAATCTGTTTCTGTAAACCGCTCCGAGCGGTTTACAGAAACAGAATTATTTATTCAACAAGGTACACACATTGAATAAATAATAATAATAATAATAATAATAATAATAATAATAATTTGGTAAATACTAAGATTCTAATATATTGAAGCATATTAACCAGCTAGCCTGAGTCAACGTTTGCTTCCACATTAGTGCCTTTTTGTACTCCACAGGTGCTGCATTTCCATTATTGTTGTTGTTGTTATCCAGAAGCAGAAGTAAAATGGAGGTTCTAAAATTTCTTTTAGTTTTAAGCGTAAACACAAAATCAAGGTCTTCAAAGGAGAGTAAAATAATTATATTTCTCTGTTTCTAGTTTTAAAAAGAGAGAGGAAAGAGGATATAAATCTGTTGCATGAAGCCAATTCTTACCTATTTTTATAACTTTTTGTTCTTTTCCAAATCTCTTCACAGAAGTTATATAGAGATCCCTATTTTTGTCAATAAATGCAATTTTTCTTTCATTTGTATGACCTTTCTGGTCTAAGGCAATTTCTATGATTTCTGTCTGAAAAAAACATTTAATTATGTGAGACATAAAACTCTTTAATAAAAACAAATACATGGGTGATTGAGGACAGACAATAAGCATACTGTACACTGATTACTATCAATCTTTAAATCAGTGTTGTCAAACTTGTGGCCCTCCGGGTGCTTTTGCTTTCAGCTCCCTAAATTCCTGGTCATTGGACAAGGTGCCTAGGGCTTCTGGAGGCCCAAACATCTGGAGGGCATAAGTTTGACGCCTCTACCTTAAATGATGAACTAGTTACAACACATCTTTACTTTATGTCATTACAGAAAGCGAGATTAGACTTGAAACACAGGGATTTTATCCAAGACCTGGATATTCCAATCTCCCTTCTTACCTACTATAATCACATCAGCCCAAAAATCATTGTCATATCACACAGAGACAAAAAACTTCACTAAATCTCCAACTAAAAAAAGGAGTGTGCATGTCTGTGAAATGTAAATACCATTTGATTCTTCTCCAGATATGCCCTACCAGCTATTTACTATTCTACCTTTCAGTGGGATTCATTTCCTCTCAGCAAGGTCAGAAATAATGGGTTTTAAATGGATAGAAGCCATTTTCAGGAGATAATCAGTAGATAAGAATAAACCACCAACTCCTGTACACCAGATTTCCCTTAAAAGAGACCTCTTCACTTTCATATAAGCCTTATGGAGCAAACATGGAACTTCAGGAGAATGTATGGTATAACTTGAGTCAAGCCTGCCACTTTTAATGCTGAGGAAAAAGTGAATATTTATTTTTACAGGCAAGTCTTTAGTTAATATTAAAAAAAAACTTTCAAAGAAGGAGATCATGTTTCCCAATATAACACAAGAAGAAAAACAATATACAACAAACAAGAGGCAGTAGCACCGAACTAGCAAAATTCAGCCAAGATATAGTTTACCAAAGAAATTCAATTATGTCTAATAAATGTCATGTATTTTTGAAAGATGTAAAATACAAATAAATAAAGAATAAGGAATAACAAAACATGACTAGATTTTTTTGGAGATGAAAATTTCCAAAGATATCTTCAGCTTAATAATGATGTTGCCGCTAATCCTTTTCTAATTGTAAATCAAGCATCATAACTGTGGTTACAGGCCTCTTTTTCAATAAGGTTATAAAAACAAAGGTTATAGTATGACCTCACATTTCCCTTAAAATAAGAATAGTAAAGGTAAAGGTTTTTCCCTGACATTAAGCCCAGTCGTGTCCAATTCTGGGGGTTGGTGCTCATCTTCATTTCTCAGCCAAAGAGCCAGCGTTGTACATAGACACAACCTAGGTCATGAGGCTGGCATAACTGCATGGAGCGCTGTTACCTTCCCACTGGAGCAGTACCTATTGATCTACTCACATTTGAATGTTTTCTAACTACTAGGTTGGCAGAATCTGGGACTAACAGCAGGAGCTCACCATGCTCCCCAGATCTGAGCCGGTGACCTTTCAGTCAGCAAGTTCAACAGCTCAGCAGTTTAACCCACTGTGCCACTGGGGGTTTCAAAAATATAAACAGGACTTCAAATAAAGCTATGCTGATTTTAATGCATTAATAACTTATCTCTGAGATTATAGAATCATATAGTTGGAAGAAACCACATGGGCCATCTAGTCCAATCCCCTGCCATGTAGGAAAAGCACAAACAAAGCATCCTCAACAGATGGCCATCCAGTCTCTGTTTAAAAGTCTCCAAAAAAGGAGCCTCCACCATTCTCTGCGGCAAAAAGTTCCACTGCAAACAACTCTTACAGTCTGGAAGTACTTTCCTGTAATTTTAACCCACTTCTCTGAGTCTTAGACTCAAGGACAACAGAAAACAAGGCTGCTCCCTCTTCCTTATGACATCTTTTCATATATTTAAACATGGTTACCGTTTCTCCTCTCACCCTTTCACCCCTCTCTTCTGCAGGCTAAACATACCCAGATCTTCCTGTCTGTTCATTTAAAGTGACGCTAAATAAATGTCTATCACACTAACAAAACAAATTGTCTTAAATCAAAAACATTTCTTGGCCTGCCAAGAAGTAGCCTTAAGTGAATTTACAAATTTCTATTAACTAAGCAATACCTCAGTTATATAGACACTGATAATTGCTAAATTAAAATGTCTCGCATTTTTTACTTACAGCACTTATGTATAGTTCCTAATTCTCTTCCTATTTATTTCAAATTAGAAAGGACAGCTGTATGTTACATTAATATTTTGTTACTGATGCTTGTTTCAAGTCATTGAAGATACAACCCTTTCTACAATCAACCACAAAATAAGCCAGTGACCTTCTGAATAGACATGTTTTGTTGTTGTTGTGTGCCCTCATGTCTACTTCTGTTTACGATGATCATATCCTAGGGCTTTCTTGGCAAGATTCATAGAGAGGAGATTTCATATAGTTCACATTTACATCCCACACTACTTGCGGGGCAGCAAAGGTTCAGATCACTTCTTGATTAACTATAGATATTTGAAACCGGACCTTTGCTTCTGTTCTGAGGTTTCATGCATAGATGAACACATGGAATAAATGACTGTAGACTCTCTTTCTGAGCACACAAATTGTTTACAAATATGACAACTGATTAGCCACCTCAGCAGATGGGTTTTTTCCTTGTCCTAGCATGCTGCTAGCACACCACCAGGATGGAGTCGGCCGGAGCCCATCATAAGACGCAAGACTCCTTCTGGTGGGGCTCCAGTGGACTCCGCCCTGGCAACGTGATGGAAGTATGCTGGCAGTATGCTAAGAGGGAGCCCTGATGAGATGGGTGACTGACTACTTGTCTCCTCATAGTAGAAGCTGGGGACAGCATGCGGGAAAGTCAGGAAACGTTGTGGGATGGCAACTCATGGCCAACCACGGTAAGTGGATGAAACTGGGTGCTGCCCTATGGTTTCCTGCACTGTCCCCAGGCTTCTGGACCTCCATGTCAAGATGTTGGGATCCCTGGACCTGGAAAAAGGAAATAAATCTTGCAAAACTACAAAAATAAGAAATTATTATTTTTTATTAATAAGATTACGTGTGCTACCTTATGACTAAGTGGTTTTCCATCTCCTAGTGGTTTTGCCAGATAAGGGGTCAAAGAGGTAGATTACTTTAGAGAGGGGGGAGGGAGAGAGGGAGAAGACAACTACAGAAGTAAGAAATTAAATTATGCATATTACCTTATGGCTAAGTGGTTTTCCATCTCCTAGTGGTTTGCCAGATAAGGGGTCAAAGAGGTAGATTACTTCAGAGGGGGGGGGGGAGAGGGAGTGAGAAGATAACAAATTAGTGATCAATGTATATTGTAGGCAGTCTCCAAGTTACAAACATCCGACTTACAAATGTCGCATACTTACAAATGAGGATGAACCAACAGGAAGTGAGAGAAATCTACCCCTAGGAAGGGAAATTCACTCCTGAAAGAGTTATCATGGGGAAGAGATGTCCCCACTGAAGCTTTATCACCAATCCTTGTTTCCACAACAAATCACCCCACTCCTCGGATTTGAACCATCAACCTTTCGGTCAGCAAGTTTAGCAACTCAGCGGTTTAACTCACTGCACCACTAGAGAGCCCATTTGTGGTAAATAGTTAGATTTCTCATAACAAAATTAAGTCCAATTGATTTCAACATATATAAAAACTAAAATATTGAAACATTAGTGTAATTCTGTGTATGCCTACTGAGAAGGAACTGTTGTTAATTTCCACGGGATTCACCCTCAGGTGTTTTTAAAGTACTAACAATATTAAAATACATTTTTATCAATAGATATTGGCTATAATTGGAAGGGATGATCCACTAGCAGAGATGTCAAACTTGTGACCCTACAATTGTTTGGAACTCCAACTCCCAGAAACCCTTTCCAGTTTGTACAATGGTCAGGAATTCTGGGAGCTTAAAAACAACACACCTGGGGGCCACAAATTTGACTCCTGTGCTCTACAGGAGCCGAAAATCCTTCGCATTTTCAAAGCAGCTTACAAATTACGGTATATCAAAAGGCATTGTTGGTGAAGAAGAAAAAGAAGATGTGACTGTAAAGGTAGTGTGCTATAGTGCACAGTAGTGATGTACACTTCCTATGAGGATTAGCATCACAAGTTTTGGCCTACATATGACAGGGAACATTCACTGACAGAACTGCTTCTGTCTGTAGAATTGGGAAGAGCCAGGCTGCTCTCCCCATTGCGGCCCCCTTATACTCCAACAGTCTGCTCTTAAAATTGGGAATCCCAGCAGTTTTTGTATGACAGAGAGGGCTGCAGGTGGGAAGGAAAGAGAATAAAGTACTGTTGTGCTAGCACTGCACTATTTTTTTTTTGGCAATGTTACGTTTTATACATGCGTTAACTCCTTCTAACCCATGCAAAGGATTCAGTATTTGTGCATCTAAGAGATGAGGGTGTGGGGGCAGAAATACAGGAACATGTACAATCATAACTAAATGCCAAATTATTCAGCAAATGTATATGAAGTCGAATGTACTTCTGGACACTTTTTAAAGAGTTTGACATCATGTGCCAAATCCAGCTGATAATATGTCATCTATATTCCATGTGGCATGCACGTTTAACTTTAAAAGACGCTTAAATTTGCATTTCAGCATAGTGTCATGAGTTTCTTTTAGGAGGATACAGGATATTGGTTTGCGGTCACTGGTTATATTGGCAGGAAAAACGATGTTATGAGAACAGGTGCTGTTCTGATGTTGTTGGTTGCATATGAAAAGGAAAAAGAAGGGTTATGTCCAGTGCTGGTTTGAGCCAGCTGTGTAAACACAGGAAAATAACTTGTGATCTGAGACAGCGCTGTGCACTCTTTTTGATGTAAGGTTTCTCTTGTCATAGTCACTGCTTGTGCTGTTACCAAAACCAAAACTTTTACTCACTATCTCAGGGATTTTAGAAAAATAAAATTATAAATGCACACTGGAAACCCCAAAGTAACCCCAAGGGGGAAAAAAATAAATAAAAGCAGAAACAGAAGAGCAGCTAGATGGGAAAATGACTCATTTTGCCATCGTTTGCATTCACTAATCATTGCAGTGAAGAATGGGTTATTAAAAAGGAAAAGATCTAAATAGCATGATTTGACACTGAAGCATCACACTGCAATTATAAAAATACCGTTCCATAATATATTCATCCATAATGATACATTAATGACTGAGTAAGCCAACAATTTATGTTAATGTTTTAGAAATTGCTTAGCATCAATTGCTGGTTAGTTCAGAAAGAAGCAGCAGGTGAAAACAAACCCTAAGATATTCAATTTGTCTAGATCAATGCATTTTGAAGTAATACAAGGAAAAGCATCTTTAAAAAAATAAAGATTCCTCACTTCACCTTCATATCCTAGAAGGAGGGTAACAACTCAGGAACTCTGTTGTGGGCAGATAGCTAAGTAAGTTCTTGGAAGGGGATTTTACAAACTTTGCCTTTCTGACACTGGGGGAAGGAAATCCTCATTAGACTAGAACTTTAGGGGAAAACCAGACTTTACTGAAATAATTTTGTAACTTCTGGGATTTTGATTACATTTCATTTTCTGTGAAAATAAACAGCAAATTAATTCCACCAGGAGTGAAATTGTCTGCACTACTCCTACTGCATGATTTTCCTGTGGCCTTTTCTGTCCCTCCTGAAGAACTCAATACAATTCCCATAGCAAGTGTTTACCCGGAACTGATTCACACACCCGATATACACTTTTAAATACTGCTTACATGGACAGTAAGACTGTTATTTTTATTTTGCGGTTATTGATTTTCTCTGTTAAGGAACAAAAGGAACTCTTACAGAGGGAAAGTATTACTGTTGTACATAAGTAAATAGGAATGAGATAGTTACATCCAAACGAATTAAAGTACACTTGTACAATGGGGTTTTCTCATCCACTTATTACCACTTAAGGGAGAATCAGAATGCTCTAGCTAAGGCCAGAGAAGGCTTCGCTAGGAAGACCTCTAGTGAAAACTTACAGCCAATATCAATTTCTGAAAAGATCTGGTTCCATTATCTAATGGTGTGCCATTATCAGGTGTGCCAAGAATACTGATTAGATAATTGAACTATTGAATATGCCCCCGTTTTCTCTCCCAATATGACATCTGGCAGCTGGCAAACAATGCATTATGGACAGGACAAGGCACTGATAAGAGAGGTCGCCTTTGGGGCAAGGTTGATCAACTCTACATGTTTATATATTTTTCTCTTCCAATCCCCTTTTCCTTTTTTTCTTTTTGTTAACTGTACTTCTCTTTCTGAACATTGTTTTGTTTGGAAGGTTCACTTTTTCAGAGCAACTAACCTAAAGCATCATCCAAATGTACTGGGGAAATCAAACTTGCCTCCTGGACACCGCTTGCCTGAAATCACTACACAGACTCCATTTTGCTGAATTTAAGATAAAATCACGTTTTTAAAATTTTGGCCAGAGAATCTCATCTAATTCTCATGTCAAAGCTTCTGGTCTGCTTTAGTGGAGTTCTGTCAGCTTGTCTACTTCCTCTTCGCACTGTTCCAACCCACTTTCTTCCCAGGAAGATGCAACAAGCCCAAAGAGAAATAAGTTTAGTCACCCCTAAAATCTACATTTTGGGGGCGTACTTTCCATACATACTACAATTACCTAAATCCACCTCCTCTTTTCTTGATCATGTGGGCATGGGTTAAGAAATGCATATTACCTTTATTTTTAAGACCTTGTTTCTCCCCTCATCTTGTATAATTTTTCACCACATATTTATTCAAAAATAAATACATTTTATGGAAAAATACTTTTTATTGTATGGACAACATACCTTTTTCATCAGATTTATCTCTAACTGCTAAAGTATCATTACTCAGAGATATGGCTTGAGCATTCAGTATATCTGTTCTCATTCCTGGAAACTTAGGAGAGGAAATTAAACGTCCTTCATAAGAATATAAATAGATTCCCCCACCATCTACAAGAAGAAAATGCCTACAAACAAGGGGGGAAATAACATAATAGCAAAAAATGCATTAATTTGTGAATACTACTTGATGCATTAACAGATTAATTTATTCATTTATTTAGATTTTTTTATAATGCCCCACAGTGATGTTCACAATCCCAGGTGCTATATTTTTTCCTACTGCCAATTTTATCTTGCATGTAATATCAAACACTATACCAATTCTATTTTATTTATCCAAATAACTTTGCTCAGATGCATGATGATATTGTCATATAACTGTATGTTTCTGTGTGTTGTGTGCCTTCAAGTAATGTCTAACTTATAGCGAACCTAACATGAAGTTTTCTTAGCAAGATTTGTTAAGAGGGGGGTTTGCCTTTGTCGCCCTTTGAGACTAAGTGTAACTTGCTCAAGGTCACCCATTAGATTTCCACAGTTGGGCAGGGATTTGAACCCTGGTCTACAAAGTCTCCGTTCAGTGTGCATACTACTAAAATCACATTGGCTCTTCAATACAACTACATTTGCTATATTTAGAAGACTTTCTTCCTCTGATTAGGATAAAAGATGAGTTGACACCGAATTATCAATAGAGATTGAAAGTTACAGTTTTAGTGTAGACAAAGCATTTCTTTTTTGCTTAACCACATAAAAGGACATGTGTCACAGCTGTTCCCCTCCACAAACTCCCTCTCTCCCTTCTGAAATACGAAAGCCTACTTTTGCATTTCACTCTACAGCACTTCTATCAAAAAGGATTAGAGGCAGTTAATTATGTAACCTAACTCAAAAGTTAAGTAGAAATCCTAGTTTGATAAGTGGAGTTACTACTAGAATGACCACTGAAGATTTTATTTATTTATTTATTCACTTCATTTGTATATCCGCTTTTCTCACCCCAGGTGGGACTCAAAGCAGTTACAATATATTTACAGCAAAATGTAATGCCTCACAAAAATATGAAAAACTAACATAAAGCAACAATAACATAAAACTATCTATTAAATAAGAAACCAAAACAACTTTTAAATATTAAAACATGGAGTTAAAAACATATAATATAAATATTAAAATCACATGATCCAAAAGCATAGTGTAGGCCATTCTAATATCAAATAACAATTGCACATAATCCCTGATTATTCCTTGTGTTGCTTACTGCCCAAATGCTTGGTTCCACAGCCATGTTTTTCCCCCCTGAAGGCCAGGAGGGAGGGTGCTGATCTAATTTTGTTGGGGAGGGAGTTCCATAGATGAGGGGCCACCACTGAGAAGACCCCGTCTCACGTTCCCACCAATCGTGCCTGCAAAGGCGGCAGGACCGAGAGCAGGGCCTCCCCAGATTATCTTAACCTCCGAGATGGTTTGTTCAGACAGGTAAGCTGGGCCGGAACTTTATAGGTTAAAGCCAGCACTTTGAATTGTGCTCAGTAGCAGTCTAGCAACCAGTGGAACTGGTGTAACAGGGGGGTTGTGTACTCCCTGCATCCCCTTTTGGTGAGCAATTTTTCTGCCGTCTGTTGGACAATTTAGAGCTTCCGAACAGTCTCCAAAGGCAAAAGGTGAGGTTATTTTGTGTTGCTTTCAAGGAAAGTGAATTTGACTGAACATTGGAACCTTCCTTAGTTTATATATGAAGAAAAGGCTTTACAAGGGGGCTTATTTCTTCTCTTTATACACTTGTGATAACATGTAATGAATGAAAAGCTTCACAACTATGCTGCCTTTTTTAGGCTGGACTGCAATACCCATGGAAATGATACCACATTGTCCGTTTAGCTCAGCTCCCAACAAGCAGCATATCCAGGAGGTTAAAGAAGAGGCTCGCAGCCACAAACTATATTTCAACATATAAAAATAGCAAAGAAAAATAAACTCCTTCGCCAACTTGTATAATACTAAGTGAAGTGAACTTCTGCTCAAAAACTTGCCCAGCACTACCTTTAAGCATTTCTCTCTGTTCTCCTCATCCTTCCAAAAATTGCCCCAAAAGTTCAATCCAGCTCTAATTTCAAAAATTAAGCACTGTGGAAGGAATTCATTCAAGGACCAGGATGGGCGGAAGCAGGAAATCCTGAGGCCAGTTTCTCATCTTTTTAAAACCACAGTTAAGCAAAATCAAGCTTTAGACCAAGATGCACACTAAGTTGGCAATAAACTCTGCTGAAACAAACATTCATGGCAATGGACTGTAAATTATTAACTGTCCAATCTCCTGTTTGAATGAGCCATGGCCAACATATAAGAACCACACATACTAATAACAAATTACCAGGACTCAATTGATTACAAATTTGCTTAAAATTATAGCGGTGATCCCATTTGTTTATTCTTGTTTGCCTCCAATCTGCAGTCTGAAGGAAGAGGATAAATTTTATTTTGGATCTCTGGGCATACCTAGCAAGTACTGACCCGAGAGAAATAGGAAGTTGTAATTTTGTATCCTCTTGTGCAACTGGGAGGGAGGTTTGGGCTCCTCTTGCTTACATTTATTAATATGCAAGGAAATTAGTAAGATTAATTTTTCCCACAACAACACATATATTCCTTCAGTAGTAACCACAATTGTCTTACACAATTTGAGTAAATAGTATTCTCATAAAATAAATTGTTGAGAAATAAGGTTGAACACTGTGAAAGCCACCCACTGCATGGCTATCAGCCTCCTCCCAGTAGACTCAAATCAAGAAAAAGCTTCATGAGAACCACCACTCTCCTTAATGTTCCCTCAGCAACAGTAACAGTATTCCTCTGGGCAGGTAAACCAGGAAATTCCAATTGGATGGTCCTCACGTGGATCTGCCTCCAGGGGCAAACCAAGAATGGGCAACTTGGAAATCCCTGAACAGACTCAGAAGTGCAGTGGGCAGATCAAAAGACAACCTGGCAAAAGGGCACTACCTAAAAGAATCCACCACCTTGTGCAACTGTGGAGCCGAACAGACAACTCCACATCTGTATGCTCGTCCACAATGTCCTGCCTCATGTACAGAGAAAGAATAGTTTGAGGCTACAATGTGGTTGCTTTTGCCCTTTTTTGGTCAAAAGATATTTAGCTGCTTGTGCCCCTTCTATTTTTATCAGTTTTATACTAATTTATGCAATGCTTTTGATACAAAATAAATAAATAAAATGTTGTGCATAAAATACATTACCTTTCTGCTTGCAAAATTAAACTTACAGTTCCTTCCTTGAGGTCAAAAATTAATGGGGTATTCCAGTTTTTAATTCTAGAAAAAATGCACATAAAATACATTAATACTAATGTAATTCATTTACACATTTAGTTAACATAGTGGGGCTTTCTCAAATACTCTAGAACAGTGGTTCTCAACCTGTGGGTCCCAAGATGTTTTGGGCTTCAACTCCCAGAAATCCTAACAGCTGGTATACTGACTGGGATTTCTGGGAGTTGAGGCGAAAACACAGGAACCACTGCTCTCAAAAAATTATATATGTCAAGATTTCAAAAGATACACAGCATTTGTCTATATTTCTCTTTCAATTTGTTTAAAAGGAAGCTGATTATCTAATATTTTACATCTTTCAACTTCCATGATAAAAGCTAATTACAGCTTCTGAGATCCAGATGGATGTACTTACACACCTACTAGATCTTTGGGGTTATCTTCTGAAGATAACTTTATGATGAATTTTGTTTCAAAGTGCCTTAGATTAAAAAATATTGTTCAAGAATTTGACACAAACTATGATTAAAGGGAAACACAAACCAAAATAGTGAACACTCACATTAGGAGACAGGATGACCTTTAAGCAATAACATATGGCTTCACTGTGAATTCCCACTCAGGGAAAACAAATACAGTCAGTCAATTACATGCGTAGTTATGAAACATTTATGCCAGTTAGCTGAGGTTTATAGGATTGATCCATTAAATTATGGATACTTCCCAAATCAAATCATGAATAATTATGTAATAAACCAACATCTTTGGAATGTATCAGTTAACTATATCTCATTCATTCAAACTGCTTACGAGAATATGTAACACTGAAGAGATGTTGAAACTACTAAATGTCCATAGTTCAAAGAGGCTTTAATTACTCTGTCACGAAATTCCAGTAAATCCACAGCATCGTTAAGTACATTACGAACCTAATGGAAACAAAATCTCACCATTAAATAAAACTTATACAATTTATAAACTAAAAGCAGAAAATAGCTTCATTTTTAGCTCTGGCAACTGTAATGAAATCACCCAGAATATCTCTTTTCCAAGATAGGGAAAGAAATTAGGAGCAAGCCAATATTTAAAACTATCAAATTCATATCAGAATCTCCTTTTTGTGGTCTTCTCAATATTCTTGGACTCATTGATTGTACAGGCTGTCCCCAAGTTATGTAGGTTTGTTCTTAAGTTGAATTTGTATGTAAGTGGGAAGATGTAGATTTTTAAAGTGTAACTTCAGCCAAATATATATATATATACATCTTAGCTTTGAATAGCATAGGGAAGGATTAACATCCTTGTGTTTGTTTTGCTGACTGGGTCCGTGTTCAGAGGATTTCACCTCACTTTCTGTCCCTGTGATCACTTGATTTTGAAAAAAATGGCTTGTTGTGGAAATAAGGATTGGTGAGAAAGCTTCAATGGAAACACCTTTTCCCCATGATAACTCTTACAATAAGTGAATTTCCCTTTCAAGGGGTAAATTTCTCTCACTTCCTGTTGTCTCACCCTCATTTGTCGCATCTGTATGGTTGCCCACAATGCCCTGCCTCACGCACAGAGGAAGAATTGTTTAAAGCTACAGACACTTTATGGCTAGAATTTTGCACTGTCCCTCGGCTCTATTTAGGAATCTTTGCCCTTACTTGAGCCTGAATCCAGCTTCAACTTTTATCTCAGCCATAAGACTGTTTTTAAGATGATGCTTTGTGACTATGTTATGTTTTTATTTGATTGATTTTAATATGTTCTGTTTTTATCTGTAATCTTGGGCTTGTCCCTTTGTAAGCCGCCCCGAGTCCCTTAGGGGAAGTGGTGGTGGGGTATAAAAATAAAGTTGTTGTTGTTGTTGTTGTTGTTGTTATGTGGTCACTATGGCCAGTTTTGGTCTAAAATTATTTATGCTCCAAAACATAATGTTTTACAACAAACTGACAGAAAAAGCAGGTCAATACATGTTAACGTTATGTAGTAATTACCATATTTACTAATTTAGCACCAAAACATCACAATGTATTGAAACAGCTGTGGATCTAGGCAGGAGGCAGATTGTGTTGGATAATACAAATGTTGGATGAATGAAAATTGGATAAGCGAGACTCTACTGTACATGCAATAAGTCATTGGTTCTTGGAAATCCATAGAAATTGTCCTTTACATCTTTGCAGGACTAATAATAACAATAATAATCTGATTTTCTCTCTTAAATGAGACCAAAGCAGTTCGAGACTGAAAGTAGAAAACTTAACATGCCTCAGATAAATAATTTCCTAACTATCACACATGGTACCTAGTCGTTTGTTAAAAATCATCACAAAAACCTGGCACTAGAAAGTGAAAATTGTAGAAGAGGAATAAGGAAATGTAAATGAGAATTAACCACTTCTGGGCAGAAAATTCTGATACCCCTTATAGCAGTAAATTGGGGTATAATTAGCAGTAACAGTTCACTTTTTACCTATTTATTTATTTATTTATTTATTTACAGTTCTTATATTCCGCCCTTCTCACCCCGCAGGGGACTCAGGGCGGATTACAGTAAACACATATATGGCAAACATTCAATGCCAGTTTGACAAACAACATTTAACACACAAATACACCGAGGCTATTTAACTTTTTTTTTTTTCTGGCCGCCAGGGGAGCTGCTGCTTTTTCATCATCCATCAACGACACCGATGAAGTTCTTCCGCATTCCACATTCCCCGGAGTCTTTTCTCTTTATGGCCTCATAAATTAGTTAAATTTAGCCTCCCACACAAGGTGGTACCTTATTTTCCTACTTGACAGATGCAACTGTCTTTCGGGTTGCAAAGGTCGACAACGGGCTACACAATGGCTGGACACCCACTCCAGCCCGGGCTGGCTTCGAACTCATGACCTTTAGGTCAGAGTGATCTTAATGAAGCTGACACTCAGCCAGCTGCGCCACAATCCCGGTGCTACAGAACCACATAAAGAAAAAGAACTAAAGTGATTAGATAAGGTAGAGAATGTAACGATAACCGAGCATTTATGCTTCTTTCCATAGCAAACGTAGCAACTGGGTAACACCCCTTGACTTTAGACAAACCCAGTAAGATAATTTAAATTAAACACAGATCATTTACATAGAATACTAGTGTAAACCCCACTGTACATCTTTCTCAAAAACCTGCACAAACCAAATATAATTGGAGTTTCAGTGATCACTAGACAGAGTTGTTCACTACGATTCAATGTCTGGGAATGAATGCAAAAATATGATTTTTACCTGCCAATTTGTCTTCTATATTCCCAGACACTGACTCATAACATCCCACCCAGTGGACAGATGGGTAATATAGAATTTCTGTTGTTGCAAGTTTTCCCAATTATATATTCAGCATCAAAGAAGACTCCACTTCAGCCCAAAAGATATTTAGGTGCCTAATTATAGATTTGGGAGCCTAATGCTGGGCACCAAGGACTGAAAAGCTTGGCCTGAATTGTAAAACTGAACATGTAATTGGGAAAACTTGTAACAACAGAAATTGTATATTATCTCCTTGTCCTCTGGGTGGGATGTTATGAGTCAGTGTCTGGTCAGTGAAACAGAACATTTAGCAGGTAAAAAAAATCAATTTATGCATTTACTTTCAAATACTCCAGCTCCACTTTTAATTCAATATATTTCAAGAAGACACTATATTATGGGATCACTTACAATAATGAACTATTCTTAAAAAATCAAAAATAAATATGTTGTTGGAAAGGATTTAACAGGGTCTAAAATCTATAGTAGTAACCAAGTTAATTCAACTGAATCCAGTACTGAACAGTAGAAACAACTCATAAAAACTATTATATCTAGCTAAAAACAAGTATGACTTAGAAATGAAATATTTGGACAAAATATTCATCTAAAGTCATAGTTATGCTTTTTGGGGCGGTGGGAGATGGGTGGTTGGGTACTGCCTGTCTAATGTAATGCTTTGGAGATCAAAGAAAACAGACACATTTGTGAGCCCTACTTTTGGCAGAAAAACCTGCACTACAGTAACAACCAACAATCTTGCAGCTTTTGCAATTGTTAACCACATCTGTATACAAGGCATGTTTCTGACGGGTCTTTTAAGCTAACAGACCCAGGATGTCTATGCATGAACTATTATGCTAGTGCTTCTGTAGCTGTGCTTTTGTTGCCAGCTGCTGTAAAATAATTTCTAGCATAAACAAGGCTTCTGATTTTGAATTTCCAGCCACTGCAAGAATTTCATATGCAATTTACTTCTCATATGCTCTACAAAAATAGCAAAAATATAATAAAAATTACAGTGATTTGTGAATATTCACTGCAGTTCATGAACATACCAGTCATGTTTATGCTCAGTTCATGGGATGCATCGTGAAAATTGCTCAACCTAGTTGGTTATTAGATACATTTTCATGGGGAGATCTAACAAGCAAAAAGGACAGATGCCACTCATTCACTGTTCACTGATAACATCAAAATCATTAGTAGTTACCAATTTCTGTTAAGATTTCATGTTGTAACAGTTATTCTAAACAAGAAATATTTGGCTATTCACAAAACTTGAAATACGATATACATACCTCCATGGTTCTTCTTTTAGTTAAAGTTATTCCAAAGTTTTTCCACACCCACCGCTGTTCTACAACATGGGCAAAAATCACGTGTCCATTTCCACAAGCACCAGCTAATTGTGTGCCATCAGTAGACCAAGCAATGTTAAATATACTACCGGTGTTTGGTTTCTCTAGCGCATAGGACCACTGCAAAATATTTTTAAAAACAAAATGGCAGGTTTGTAATTGATGTACTATACATATATACATATACAGTAATTAATGTGTGCCAGTGCTGCAATGTCAACACAATTTTGTCTAAATTGTTTAAATTATCAAACCTTGGAACTGTGATACTTTGCTTAACATACAGCAAAATGAGAAATTAATATATATTAAATTATGTTTTGAAGCAAAGCATGAAGCAAATTTTCTTCAAGAATTATGAATATAAAAGAAAAGGAGAAAAAAAGCTCCCTCACATTATTTCAATTGTAACCTGATGTTAGATAGCAAAAACTAACCTTCAGTTTTCACTGAAGGCATTAGTATGGTTGATTTTTAAAAACAATTCCCTTCACCACTCCACCACCTACAAGAAAGAGGAAATAGTGAAATAACAGATCAAATAGGAAAGTTGATAGAACATGTTAGGTTATTTTAAAAACAGATATATTGTGGAATTCCTCTCATTTAAATTTCACAAAATACTCTTGAAAGAGGTATTTTTACTTTCTCTGAACACTAATCCAACAGTGGCCCATGCTCTTGTTACATCCCGAATAGACTACTGCAACACACTCTATGTGGGGCTGCCTTTGAAGACTGCCCGGAAGCGTCAACTAGTCCAACAGTCAGCAGCCAAGTTGCTCACTGGAGTGGCATACAGGGAGCATACAACTCCTCTGTTACGCCAGCTCCACTGGCTGCCATCCAGCTTCCGAGCACAATTCAAAATGCTAGTTTTAACCTTTAAAGCCCTAAACGGTTCTGGCCCAGACTACCTATCCAAACATATCTCCTGTTACAAACCATCACAAAGTTTTAAGATCATCAGGAGAGACTCTGCTCTAGATCCCACCACCATCGCAAACGCGATTGGTGGGGATGAGAGACAGGGCCTTCTCGGCAGTGGCCCCCCATCTATGGAACTCTCTCCCCAGGGACACCACCTCCCTCCAGTCCTTTAGAAGAAAACTGAAGACTTGGCTTTGGGACCAGACATTCGATTAGTGGATAGTGGCAACTGGAAAGGACACTTAGGAAACCCGCGACACTGAATTAACCCAGACTTAGATTTGGTTTTAACTTGCATGTTTAATCTATTGTTTTAATGAATTGTTTTAATATTTTAATGTATTTGTTGATTGTTTATATGGTGATAGCATCATACGGTGATAGCATCATACGGTGCTTGTGTGAGACCGCCCTGAGTCCCCCCTCGGGGGTGAGAAGGGCAGGGTAGAAGTGTATGAAATAAATAAATAAATAAATAGAGTGGAACGTGCTGAATCTGAGAACCTGATTCTAAATTCAATTCAGCCACTAATCTCAATAGCTGAGTTTCATGTAATCATGACTTTTAACCTAACACAGGGATGAGGTACCGAGCCTTCCACATATTGATGCATTCCAGTGGTTTTGAGTTCCATTTTCCTATCATCATTGTGAATGGGAAGTGGTGTAAGATGAAGTAATTCACTGCCATGAAAGAATGTCATGTTCCTCACCACCTGAACTGCCTCATTATATAGAGGTGCTGTGAACAGGAAATGCCACCTTATATGCCCCAGGATAGAGGGTCAGTGTAGATCCACTATAGGTAATAGAAGGGGGCAATGTGGTCCCAGTTTCTGCTTTAGTTTATGGGCTAAGCTGGAACCCTGGTTAGGCTTTACTCTTAATTTTACTATATTGCAAACATCTGTATTATTTTGCTGGGTCTGTCAACAATATTTCATTTTGATATTCCTTTGGATAGCCTGGTTGAGATGGTCTTATAAGGATGAAAGGTTGTCACATTCTGAAGTGCCCCCACTCAGATTGGGCTGGTTCACCAACTGCAATAGTTTCTAAACAACTTGAGACCAGAGTAGCATGGCACATGTAAAAGTGGTATTTGGACTGTTATAACTTAGTTCATGGGATCCCTTTGAAGAATTTAGAAAAACTGCTGTTGGATAAGAATGCACTGTGCTGGTGGGCATTCTCTTACAGCAGTGGTTCTCAATCTGTGGGCCCCAGATGTTTTGTCCTTCAACTTGCAGAAATCCCAACAGCTGTAAACTGGCTGGAATTTCTGGGAGTTGTAGGCCAAAACACCTGGGGACCCATAGGTTGAGAACCACTGTCTTACAGGATCACATCAAGTGTGCTCTTCAAAATTTGCAGAGTTACCTATTTGTTTCTAGGTACAGTTGTAAGTGCTGGTAATGGCCTTTAGAGCCCCAAATGGCATAGGTACCAGGACAGCTTAACAACCACCCCTTTCCATAAACACTGTCCCTTCTGCACAAAGAAAGTGTCTTCCTGGTGGCTAAACCAAAATTGGGGACTTCTTCTTTCGAGAGACAGGTGGTCACCTTCTCTGATTGCATATTGTATGTTATGAAAACTTTAAGTAGGCATTGTTTAGGGAGTTTTATCCACTACTTTATTTGTACTATTCATCTGTTTTCTTATACTAGTCAATTTTGTTACTGTATTTTATTACATTCATCATTGGTTTTAATGTCTGTTATCTTCCCTGATGGTTCAACGTTTCTCTATAAATAAAATGAAATAATATGAATAAAAAAGTAAAATGGATTACTTCTTTATCCAAACAATGGGCCTTTGGTGTCTGCTGGGATTGGGTTCCTGGAGCCCCACCCCATGGATACAAGAATTCTTAAATGGTTAAGTCACATTATATACACTTATATAAAAATGGCAAAATAAAGGTTTGGGTTGCTGTAAGTTTTTTGTGCTGTATGGCCATGTTCCAGAAGCATTCTCTCCCGACGTTTTGCTTTCATCTATGGTAGGTAACCTCAGAGGTTGTGAGGTTTATTTTGGATTTTTTTTAGTATATTCTTAATGTGTGGATGGCTGAATCTGTGGATAGATATGTGCATCTTCACAAAACAGAGTACACTATGTCTATTTGTTTATGTGCTGAGCCATCTAGTTCAAAGTTTCCATCTTCCCTGTGAAGCCAACAGCAATTGCTGTATACAAACCTTACTGAAAAAGAATGAGCAAATGAACTAAAAATAATTAAATACTGGAATTCTTTGACTTTTCTATTTAATGAATAGTGTTCTGCCTAAAATGAATGTCTCTCTCCCCCCCCCCCCCCCCCCCCCCCCCCCCAAGTCTCCTACATTCATTCTTAATCTTGGAACATGAGTCAATGATTTGACTCTTGCTGGGTGTAACAGTTCAAAAGTTGAACCAATGCACACAATATTCGTATAAAATTCCATTTAGTAAATTATGTAATATTAAAGTTAGTTACTCTAGAATAGGGGTCCTCAAACATTTTAAACAGAGGGCCAGGTAACAGTCCCTCAAACTGTTGGAGGGCTGGATTATAATTTAAAAAAAAACACAGGAATGAATTCCTATGCACACTGCACATATCTTATTTGTAGTGCAAAACACTTAAAAACAATAATTCAAATGAAGAACAATTTTAACAAACATAAACTTATTAGTATTTCAATGGGAAGTGTGGGCCTGCTTTTGGCTGATATGACAGGATTGTTGTTGTTGTTGTTGTTGTTGTTTGCTTTCAAGTCATTTCAGACTTAGATTGACCCTGAGTGAGGGCTGGGTAAATGACCTTGGAGGGCCACATCCGGCCCCCGGGCCTTAGTTTGAGGACCCCTGCTCTAGAACTATATTACTCCTGAAAAATGCCTTTGAAATTCTAGTTGATCTCCTGCCAATCAATTCCATGAAAATATATTTTTTAAATATCTGATTTTCCAAGTGTTTTTTAAAAATGAATCTGAATTTCACAACTTCCTCCATGAAAAACACTTGGAAGAAATAGAACACAATCCCAGGACTGCACTGGAAAAAAAAGTGTCAGGTTTTCTACAGTTACCGAATGAAAATTTGATTTTCAATGTCACATTTATTCCTTGCACAAAAGGTAGTGTAGATGAATTATTTTTTTTTAAAAAGGAATCTTCATTACTAATCTTAAGAGGGAAATGTGCGTTGGTCTTTCTCTTTTTTGTTGAGACTTATGTGATATCATGAAAATAGAGGATTATCTGTTACTAAGCAGGTCTTATCATCACAGTAAAAATAATTTATTATCACAGTACAAGTAACATCAATGATGAAAGGCTTTCAATAAAATTTAATTTTATAGCAAGAGAAAAATTTTGTAGGAAAATGCCCTACTTTATGAATGCATAGATCCTTCACAAGTGATGTTATATGCTTGTATTTGATACTATAGTCGTAAAGTTCAAACATCAGAAAAATAGTCCTTATCTACTTTACTATGATAGGACAAGTGGTACTAAAATTAAGTAGCCATGGGATCACAAAGTCATTTATAATTTTTACAAAAAGCCCTTAATATCCCGTCACGAGCAAATAACTCCCTATAGCATCATCTCTGATTAAATCTCAAATCCCTTCTATTTGAGGCTGGAGAAAGCATGTAAAGGTCTTTCTAAAAGCAAAACATGTTATCTGAAAATCATTCACCCAAAACAGTGACCCCCCCCTCTCAAAAAAAAGTAACCAAAAAGGCAATCAGGATTGACTCAACATCCATTCTCACTGTCAAATTGGTGACTCTTGACAGACTTTGAGAAGAAAGGAAAATCAGCCAACTGGGCCTTTTGACTGTGGAGCATGTTTGCCCCAAATCAAATATTCACTTTATAAAACCTACCCACAAGTTTCCAAAGTGTCAGGGGGCCTCTTCCAATGTGACTTGCAACAGCAACCCCCTATTTGCAAGATTATTTACAAGGGCAAAGTGGGCCCTGTAAATATTTCACAAAGTCTTAACAAACAGGGTTTTTTAAAACAAAACTACAGTTCCAGATTTCCAGGCAGTTACCCAGTTATATAAAAGTTTGTTTTCATGGTTAGTGAGCACAGATAGGACAATGATATTCTTGCTTTTCTCATACTAGACAGCAGGGCCCTTTAGGGGCAGGAAGCAACCCTTTTTCAGTACAGTAATTTCTCCTACT